TCTCGTGGTGTCTGTTCTATGCGATGCTTACAGAGTCCCATCTTGATATTTTAATCAAGATTCATCCCCAAATTGGAACAACTGCAGATGAAGTGATTGCTGATATTGAAGCATGAGACTTTTCCAATATTCAACCAAATCTTTTTAATGAGGTTTTAGTAGACTAAACACATCATATGGCGGGCATGGACGTGAACCCTGGTCTCTTTGTGTCAAACTCCTGTATGATTTGAGTCATCTAAGTTTTTTGAATTAAATCGTGCAAATGTTTGAAATGGAAACAAATGAGAGTACAACTGCAACTGTCTTTCTCCTCCATGAGCTATCCGTTGTCTGTCCGGAAATTAATTTTAATTTCAATGGCTCAGTTTGCTCTTGTAGGAAACGCAATCAAACAAGATTCTTGCCGAAATTAGCCCCAATTAAAAATGTGTAAGGCTAAACAGTCATATGTATGTTTAAGGCTTATTAATCAGTAGCAAGATCCATTAGTCACATCATAGCCCATTGGTCTTCATATTATCTGAGATAATAGGTCCTACCGACAATGTTTTTTTGTTAAGTTAGCTTTTAGTTACTAAATGTTAACAACTCAAAACATTATAAACTAGGCTGTCAAATAATGTTCATTAGTGAATACACAACATTTTTGCTATAAACATTATGTATTCAACAGGCTACTTGGACCAACTGTACATTATACAGATAAGCATTTCAGAACAACATACAACACAAGCTGTCAATAAGCCAGAGAACCTGGACAACAAATGGTGATGTGGCCTGCCTTCTAGTGCCTTCAATGTGTACGTGTGAGTGTGACTGCACTACTTGGTTTACAACTGCACTGGCAACAATATTTTCATTCACATATTCATGAATTTATTCACAAAATTACTTCATTGTCATTAGTTTTCTGAAGCGGAACCGATGTAGGTATCGACGGAACTATTTTACGATTACACTTCCGTCCTCCGCTCAAATGTGTCCTCCACGGAGCGCCGACAGCGCCGACTGTGAGGTTGATTACAAGAAGTCCTGAAGAAAGCAGGTTATGGAAAACGTAATTTCAGTGACGGACAGATTCGCTTAAAGACAATAAACTGGTGAGAACAATGGCGGCTGATTGTGTGTGAACGTATATGTGTAAGTAGTAAGCTAGCCTTTCGGTAACGTTAAGGAGTGTAACGTTAGTTAGTGTTAGTGCAGCTAAATTACCTCGTTAAGTTACTTTGACACTGACGAGTATTTTCAAATCGTTACTGTACGTAAGAAGTAGCAGCAATACAACAATTAAAAATGAATCCATGACAAGTAAAAGTCCTAGTCTCACAATCTAACTCGAGCTAAAGTACGGTGGTCCAACTATATAGCAGTCAAATGTCTTTGTATTGCACAAATGATAGAATGGTTGATTAAAAACATAAATACTTCCTCACAAAGTGGAAGTGCCTCACGAGACAGGGTAAGTTTACATTTTACACCACCAACTAAGACTCATAAGAGGTGAGGAAATATGATTAAAATGGAAATGTAACAGACAGTGAATGACAAAATACAGCAGTATCTTCTTAAGTGTGTAATTTGGCTCTCATAATTGTGAGTGAAATAAATAAATTACTACAGATGTTACAGCCGGAGATTTAGAGGTGTCACTGTGAAGAGGCCTGAACAACAAAGGCACACTGAAGGAACAGCTGGGGAGGTTTTGTGGTTGTTACTGAAACCTTATTATCACCTGTTTATTAACAATAACATCACGTGTTGTCCTCAGCAGACCCACTGAGTTCATTGAAACGGGATGGCAGCCCCTTCACCCCATGACCGCAGCCGTAAAGACGACGATGAGGACGACCCCGTTGAACAGATGATATCCCGCACTGGCTGTGCTGAGCTGCACTATGCTGTGCAGGAGTGCATGGCTGAACACCAGGACTGGCGCACGTGCAAGAGCCAGGTCCAGACTTTCAAAGACTGCATGATGAACTTCCAAATCGCACGGAAAGAACAGCTGATGAAGCAGCGGCAGCAGCAGCTGACCTCCACCCAGTCCGCGCCCAGCTGAACTCACAACAAAGACTGTACATCACTTAATTATTGTTCAGAAAATAAAGTGTGATCGGTGACAAAAGAAATCCTGACTTGGACTTTTCAGTTTGTGTGTTTTGTGAAGAGACCAAATGTGATTTATCAGCCAATAGAAGCTTAACGCAGACAGTTTGTATCGATGTCTCTGTTTGCTGATAAAGGAAATGGAAGAACAGAAATAACAAAGACATGTTTGAGGTCATTTAGAAACAGGGTCTTATATGGTTTGTCCACCAGAGAGCAGCGGGAAGTTAATTTCCAAGCACTCGGTACATATCTTGGTCACTGCTGTATTGTTCAATTTAAGGGACATTTTTGTTTACGATTTATATATGTGTGTGTGTATATATTGATCCGGTATTCACTTTCTTTTTATTTCGTTTTTATAATTCATAAATATAAAGAAAGCAATTTAAGTGAACCAACTTAGTAAATAGTACATGAACACCCTTTGTGTTATGGGGCTTAATTGTGTCAGTGAGAAATATTTCATCAATAATTCAGATCTTATACGAAACAAATAACAGATAACAGAGCTCAAATCCATCTCAGTTGATTTTAGGATTTAAGGTGGATAAAAATGAGCCATACTGTTGAATGAGACTGACTCCATTCCAGTGAACGCGCTCCATGCATATGGCTCAGTGACTGAATGCACCAGGTTTAATAATAATGTGATATTTATTTCCTAGAACCACTGAGGGGTCTGTGAGCTGCAATGCAATAAACCAAGCTTCACCACGAACAACATAAGCTAGTGACTCCAAAGAGCACTCAGTAATTACATTTCAGTTCACGTTTTATTTGTGAGAAATGACAAGGTTCTGCACGAAGCCCAGACATCGCAACAACAATGCTCATCTCAGTTAAAACTGAATGAAAGTCAGTGATTCAAACACCTATAAAAGGCCTACAATGTTTACAATGATAAACTTTGGGACAACAAAGAAGATGTATAGTCAGTAAGAGGATGTTGAACTTAAGACTTCTCATCTGACTTAAAAAGAAAAGGTGGACAGAGGAGAGAGTGTCAGGCTGTCTTTTCTCTTGCAGCCCATCATAGGTTAGTTAATAGGTGCTTTGGAGATTCATTAATCCCAAATTCAAACAGTAAAAGGTGTGTTTGTTACCGCAAAGGTCATTAACCAGCATCCACTGGTGATGTTATCATAAACTGAGCTCATTAGAACGTCTTTGTACAAACACTGTTCACAAAATGTCGTGTACATTCTTACACTTATTATTATTTTTATAGATCTTTGTCAGTACAGATTTCATATGCTGTAATACTTTCTGTACAAGTCTTTCCACTCGAACCATGGTCTCTAATGATGAATGCACCTTGAGGGAACATCGTGGTGTTTGCTCACTGTGTACAAACTCACTTCACAAAGCGTTTCGTAAGTGCTTATACTAGAGTGTGAAATAAAAAATGTCACAAGAGCTAATCTTTGTATCTAAGTCATGATACAGCAGCTGGCCTACTTTGTTTCATTTGGGTAACCTTCAATCTATCCATATTTAAAACTGAGTGATGTGCGAAGCTCAAATTCTTCAGAATTCAAAGCAATCATCAGATGTTTGTTGTCGACGCAAGAAAAAGCGTAATCAGAGCCCCGCTCTTAATGGATCAATTCATTAATAGGGTATTGCTGAACGAGGTCCTCTTAGTAACAGCTGGAAGCTCGATCTCAAGAGATCAATGAGGAAAGTATATCTCTCGCTGTACACAGGTCAGACACGCAGTCATCCTTTTGGATGCAGCATCAAATAGAGCTGCTGCTAAACAATCGTTAAGAGAACATCAGGTATGACTGATTGTTGTTTAGCACATGTGTATTTACTGGAATATGTGCTGCATACTGCTGTGTTTTATCATGCTCATTGAACTTGTATGAAAATGATCCATGTGGTTTTTAGTCTCTGTTGAGGTTTAATGTGTAATATGACTTGATTTCTCTGTTCTGTAGACTGTGGAGCATTTAAGCAGAGGCCATCCTCCAACACAGGCTGTGGAGTTCAACTATGTCTTCTCTCAGGACCGTT